AAATATATATAGACATATATATTTATATATACATTAACTCTTATTATTATTATTATTATTATTATTATTATTATTATTATTATTATTATTACCGAACTACTGAAGAGAGACATCATAATAAATTATTTTATTTAAACAAATTGGAGACATTAAATAAATAAAACAAATAATAAATATTATTGTTTATTATTATAAATAAAAATAAATAATAAATAAATAAATATATATATATATATATATATATATATTATTTTATAATACACCTAAACGCAAAGCGCTGGGCTGTGTTTGGCTGCAGCAGCAAACGAGAAGATCTGAAGGAGCTGCTTGCTGCTGGTTGCAGCTGTTTAAGTTGTTGTTGCAGCAGCAGCAGCAGCTGCTGCTGCTGCTGCTGCTTCAGGAAGCAGCAGCAGAGAGCTGCAATGAGTTGGTAGTTTAGATAAACATAGACAGAAGCGCAGATGCTGCACAGCCAAAACCCTGAACAGCAACAGCAACAACAGCAGCAACAGCAGCAACAGCAGAAATAGCAGCAGCAACAGCAGCAACAGCAGAAATAGCAGCAGCAACAGCAGCAACAGCAGCAGCAACAACAGCGACAGCAGCAGCAACTTCACCAGCAGCAGCAGCAGCAGCAACTGAAGCAGCAGAAGCAGCAACTGAAGCAGCAGCAGCAGCAGCAGCAGCAACTGAAGCAGCAGCAGCAGCAGCAGCAACAACTGAAGCAGCAGCAGCAGCAACTGAAGCAGCAGCAGCAGCAGCAGCACGTCTTTCTCTGTAAGGAGAGTGCCACAGGCTACAGCAGAACGCACAACTAATTGAAGCAAAAAATATTAATTGCTGCTGCCTTCTCTTTCTTTCGTCAGCTGTCTTTAAACTAACAGATGAACAGACGCGATGCAGTTAGTGCTGCAGTTGATGCTGCAGTTAGTGCTGCATATATATATATATATATCTATATCATACATCATATATATACATGCGTTATACCGTATACATATATATATATAATATATATATATATGTATATATACAACTATACATGTACATATATACATGCATACATCATCATATATATGATGTATCATATAACATATATATATAATATATATTATATATATATTATATATATTATATATATTATATATTTATATATATTAACAGCCGATATATATAAGCATACACCCCACACTCGGGTGTCTGTACAGATACAGCTAAGCCTTCATAAATATATTTTAAAGAGCAGTTCTTGTGCTAATAAATATATTAATTATAGCACACTGTAGCAATTAATAACAAAGAGCAGCAAACAAACAGCTGCTTGCAGCTGCAGCTGTTGCTGCTGCACACACACACGCTTTTATAAGAGGCAGCAGCAGCAGCAGCAGCAGCAGCAGCAGCAAGACGGTGGCTGCTACTCGGGGGCTGCGTGTACAGCTGCTTCATGATATTTCTTCTTCTTTACTCTACTTTTAATTATTAATTAAATATTATTTATCTAATAAACACACTTTCTTTAATGCAGATGCATCAGCAGCAGCAGCAGCTGCTGCTGCTGCTAATACATCCCAGGCGATCCGCAGCAGCAGCAGCAGCTGCTGCTGCTGCTGCTGAGCCGCTGCTGCTGCTGCTGTGGACCGCTGGCTCGGGCAGGGGTTTAGGGTTTAGGGTTTAGGGTTTAGGGTTTAGGGTTTTGAGTTAATAGAAGAAGCTTTAAGAAGACAACAGCAGCAATTATATACATCTATTGAAGGCAATTTCTGCTCTCTGTGCTTCTGTTGCTGCTGCTCTCAACATCCCGCACTGACGCCTGCTGCTGCTGCTGCTGCTGCTGTTGCTGCTGCTGCTGCTGCAGTTGCTGCTGCAGTCACTGGAGCTTGGGCTTGTCTGCTGCTCCTCTAACAGACATAATTTGTTAATCTCATTGCAGCAAGATCCTGCAGTGTGCTGCCTTAACATTGTACGTTGCTGCTGCTGCCGCTGCTGCTGCTGCTGCTGCTGGCGCTGCGGTGACACCCATTGCAGCAGCAGCAGCAGCAGCAGCAACAGCAGCTGGAAGCTCTTACACTGCAATACATCCTTCACCGCCTCTTTGGCTTCCTAGAGGGACCCTTGCAGCTGCAACAGCAGCAGCAACAGCAGCAACAGCAGCAACAGCAGCAGCAGCAGCAGCCACGTGACTGGCATCTGGCAGCAGGTTTGCAGCAGCAACTGCTGTCAGGATATTATCTCTTTGTGCTTCATATTCATTTATTGAAGACGGGAAGACAGCAGCAACGCAGCAGCAGCGCAGCAGCAACGCAGCAGCACTGCAGCAGCACAACCCCCAAGTGCACATACACCCCGCCAGGCCCGCAGCAACTGCAGCAGCAGCAGCAGCTGCTGCTGCTGCAGGAATATCAAAGTAAAAGCGAGCAGCGAGAACGTGACAGCAGCAGCACGGGGGGAGGGGGGCGGCAGGAGCAACAGCAACAACAGCAGCAGCAGCAGCAGCAGCAGCGACGCTGCCGATTCACAGCAGCAACTGCAACGAGAGCAGCAGCAGCAGCAGCAGCACCAACAACAACAACTTGCTTACAACTCCTGTAGAGCAGCGTAATAAGCAGAGGCAGCAGATCTAACGCCCGGAGCAGCAGCAGCAGCAGCCATGTGCGTCGTGAAGCATCTGCAGCAGCAGCAGCAGCAGATGCAGGTCTAAAGCTTTGTGTTGATCCGCTTTTTCAATTGCTGCTGCATCTAAGAAACAGCAGCAACAGCAGCAGCAGCAGAAGCAAGCGCGACGCTGCTTACGTTTGCTGCGCTGTCGCAGCAGCGACGGCAGCAGCAGCAGCAGCAGCAGAAGCAGCAGCAGTAGCGGCAGAAAGGAGAGCTACGGCAGCAGTGGACTAAGCAGCATCGGCAGCAGCAGCAGCTGCTGCTGCTGCAACTGCAGCAGCAGCAGCAGTGGATGAATTGGTGCTGCTGCTTCTTCCGGGCTTCTGCAGATTTATTTTGCTGCTGTCGACCTTGCGATGAACTTCCTGCAGCAGCAGCAGCAGCAGCAGCAGCAGCAGCAGCAGGAAGAGCAGGCTATACAGCAGCCACAAAGCCAACAGCAGCAGCAAGAGGGAAGCCGGGGGCGAGGACAGCAGCAGCAGCAGCAGCAGCAGCAGCAAGAGGGAGGAGTCGACATGTCACCACGAGTCAGTCATACTAATACTGAGGACCTGTTCGGCGGGTCGGAGCAGCAGCAGCAGCAGCAGCAGCAGCAGCAACAGCAAGAACAGCAGCAGCAAGAGCAGTTCTTCCAGCAGCAGCAGCTTGAGCAGCTGCAGCAGGGGCAACTGCAACTGCAGCAGGAGCAAGAGCACGTGCAGCAATCGCAGCAGCAGCAAGTGGGACAGCAGCAGCAAGAGACGCACCGGCAGCAGCACAAGCCAGAGCAGCATCAGCAAGAGGTGCAACAGCACCAGCAAGAGGCGCAGCAGCAGCAGCAAGTGCTGCAGCAGCAGCAAGTGCTGCAGCAGCAGCAAGACCAAGAGCAGCAGCAGCAGCAGCAGGATGCGTCATCCTTGAAGGGCAGCACTGCCATAGGTGGAGATGCGGTTTCGGATCATGCAGCAGCAGCAGCAGCAGCAGCAGCCTCTGCTGCTGCGGTTGTGCCTGGAGGAGCAACGGGAGTTGAAGCTGACGCTGCTGCTCCAGATACAGGCGTAGAGCAGCAGCAGCAGCAGCAGCAGCAGCAGCATGGTGCAAGTGACTCCGATGCATTACAGCTTCAGGAGAAGCAGCAGCCGTTGCAGCAGCAAGGCCAGCAGCAGCAGCAGCAGCAGCAGCAGCAGCAAGGCCAGCTGCATAGCCACCTCTGTGTAGATCTCAGCACGGCGGGAGCTCCAGCAACAGCAGCAAGTGGGGAAGCTGCAGCAGCATCAGGAGCTGCTGCGGCATCCACTGTTGCTGCTGCAGTTATTGCTGCTGCTGCTGCTGCTGCTGCTGCTGCTGGCAGCACAACGCAGGAAAGCACCACTGCAGCGATCAGCAGCAACGGATGCACCCCGCTATCTGTTGCAGCAGAACCAGCTGCAGCAGAACCAGCTGCAGCAGCACCAGCGGCAGCAGCACCAGCACCAGCGGCAGCAGCACCAGCTGCAACACAACACGCAGCAGCAGCACCCGCTGCAGCGGAACAGGCAGCAGCAGCACCAGCTGCAGCACTATCAGCAGCAGCAGAAGCCCCAGTTGCAGCAGAACCGGCAGCAGCAGCACCAGTTGCAGCATTACCAGCTGCAGCAGCTCCAGCAGCAGCTCCAGCAGCAGCTCCAGCCGCAGCTCCAGCAGCAGCAGCAGTAGCAGCAGCAGCTCCAGCAGCAGCAGCAGCAGCAGGTCGTCGATATTCTCCTTGTAGCAGCCAGGGCCGTCGGTTTTTTTCTGCATTGGGCCTTGTAAGAGGACTGCAGCAGCAGCCGCAGCAGCAGCAGCAGGTGTCTCCTCCTCCTGCTGCTGCTTCTGCTGCGAGCAGCAGCAGCAGCAGCAGCAGCAGCAACACGTCCGCAGCAGCAGCAACGCAGTCGGCTCCGTCAGAGGGGCGCAGCTTGTGTGCAGCAGATGGCGATCGCAACAGCAGCAGCAGCAGCAGCAGCAACAGCAGCAGCAGCAGCAGCAGGGTGTATATGCGTGGTAGCTCTGCTTTATTTCCTCGTGTACGCTCGCTGCGGCAGCTGCAGTACGATGTAGGTGCTGTGCTGTGCAGCTGGAGACACAATATATATAATTGGGCAGCAGCAGCAGCAGCAAATGCTGGTGTGGGGTCTCAAGAAGGCGGCTTGCTGCAGCACGGGGAGACAGCAGTTGTATTAGGAAAGGTCTTCTGGGCTTTAGATAAGCAGCAGCAGCAAATTGTAAGGAGACACAGACAACATCATGCTCAGCGTTTGCTGCAGCAGCAGCTGCAGCAGCAGCAACTGCAGCAGCAGCAACTGCAGCAGCAGCAGTTGCAACGCAACAGAAGATGCAGCAGGGAAACAAATTGTATCACCACTGACCCTGCTGCTGCAGCAGCAGCTGCTGCTGCTGCTACTCCTGCTGCTGCTGGTGCTGCTACATACGCACCATACGCGACTTCCCCCACATCCTCAGAAGCAGCAGCAGCAGCAGAACCAGCAGCAGCAGCAGCAGTAAGTCCCCTGTGC